TATTGGGAAAGAGGATGAGGTTTCCGACAGCTCGAAAGGTGCTCCCCAGTGCTCCCGGAGGCCGGGGTCAAAGAGGAAGTTCTCCCAGTCCGATGGCACGCTGCTGGGCTCCGAGTCCGACGAGGATTCGGTGAGGACCTCTTCCAGCCAGCGGTCCCACGAGCTGAAGATACCCAGCACGGAAAAGGAGAGAGATCCCAGACGAAGCTCTGCGTCCGTCAGAGGTGACGACCCGGGGAAGTCCTCCTCGCGCTCCAAGTCGGACAGGGATGACAAGTACTCGAGCTATTCAAAATCGGAACGAGACTCGCGGTACACGTCCTCCCGCTCTCGGTCAGACAGAGAGAGAAGGCGGAGCCGGTCTCATTCCCGTTCCCGATCGGATCGAAGCTCCCGAACCAGCTCTTCCTACTCGAGGTCGGAGCGCTCGCACTACTACGAATCCGATCGCCGATACCATCGGAGCTCCCCGTACAGGGAAAGGTCGCGCTACTCCCGGTCGTACGCGGACAGCAGAGCGCGCGAGAGCTCGGACTCGGAGGACGAGTACAGGAGGACACATTCCAGGTCGAGCGACTCGAGGCGTACGTCCTCCCACTCCTCCTCCTACAGAGACTCGAGGAGTTCTTACTCCAAGTCGGACAGGGACAGCAGAGTCGAGTCGTCTCATGCTGACACGGAGAGGAGAGGAAGGTCGTCTTCGAAAGCGGACAGAGATTCAAAAAGGACTTCAGAAAGTGAAGTAACCAAAAGGTGCTCTCCCCTCGATGAGCTGGGCTATCGGAAGGGGACATCCCATTCTAAGCCCGACAGTAATGTGAATTCCTCCCGTTATAAGTCCACCCCTTCCAAGAACCCCGCACCAAAGCCTGATAAATTTAAGAGTTCTTTCTGTTGTACAGAATCGATGGAAGAAATAAAACAGCAGTCTAATTCTCTAGATTTAGAGATCTCTTGTCTAAAGAGCAATGACATCAGGGTGTCCATTGCGAAAACATTTGAAAGGGAAAAGACATTTTCTCCATTAAATCAGTTAAACGATTCGCCCGCTTTTAAAAAGGTGGACGAAGCGACAGCGGGGTTTGCTAGCTCGCAGTCCGAGGAGCTTCCAGCAAACGAGCGCCGCGACAGCGTTAAGGAACAAGAAGCGTCGTTAACGATGTCAAGAACATGCTTCCCCAGGGACTTGGGTGTAAACGGGTCCCCGGAGGGTCGGGCTGATGGTTTGGCGACTTCCAGTGCCTCCAAAGCAGAGGTGGTCGCCGCGTCTTCCGACGATAGCCCGCGTGGGTTGGAAGCGTCGCCTGTCGTGAAGACGAGTCCGGTGTATCCGTTGCCGCCTAATGGGTTTGAGAGCGCGTCTCAGGAGCGAGAGCTGGAGGATTCTCGGGTCCAGTCCAGCGAGTGCAACAGTCTGTTTGGGCAAGCGGAGGCTCCGGTCCTGCAGCAGCAGGGGGAAGCCGTCCCTTTGCCTGTCCTGAATGTAGATCATGCTAAAACTGTACTTAAGCTGGAAGATCAGGCGACTCCATGCGACAAAACCAAAGAACCAGTTTTTTGCTACGTGTCAGACGATGCCACCCCTGCTTTGTATAACTCGGAAGTTGAAATCGAAGCAGAACCAGCAGATGTCAGAGTTACATCCGAGGCTTTCCTGGACGTGCAGGTAGAGCCGCAGACCGTTACGTGCGGTTATGAGAGCACGGAAGATCAACCAAAGTCTGCCTGCGACGACGAGCACAGTCACCCTTCCCATAACATCAGCCTGGCAGCGGAAAGCTCGAGCAGGGATCCCTCCCAGACGGGCTGTTCCCCGAGGCTCCGGTCAGACCATCCTGTGCCGGAGGAAAGCATCTCTTCCAAATGGGACGTGCCACCACCGGATGGATGCCAGGAGCTGCTCCAGCATTCGGAAGCCGAAGAGATGCCCGAGTTGGGTCGTTCCAACTCGGAACGACCGTCGTTCCGAGATGAACATTCGTACTATTCGGAAGTGCCACTGGAGTACCGCAGCAGAGAGGTCGTGGAAGAAAGTGCTGTTTCCACCGAGGGAGTGGGGCCGGATGATCTGGGGGTTCAGTGTCCCAGCGTATTGGCCGAGAAGGACGAGGGAAACGAGCCCTTGGTGGCTTTTCCAGATGCCTCGTTTCCCTTTTGTGATGTCATTGTCACCGCAGAAGAAACGGAGCCGGTAACTCAAGCCCCGACGTGCGATAGCAGCGGCAACGCCTCTGAATTTGTTCCCGCTGGCCACGACGATTACTCCGACACGGGGGAGAGCGACAGCGAGGGAGGCAGTGAAGACAGTGACATGGAAGACTCTGATTCCGATGACGGTGCGCCACGGAAAAGGCTCCAGTCCGTTGTGGTCGTCCCAAAGAACTCGAGCATTGTGGTGGAGGAGAACAGCCCTGGCTCCTCACGGGGCAACCATGGCAACCGTTGCTTCTCTGACCACTGGGACGACGAGCGGCCGGAGCCCAGTAGGCCCTACTACGAAGAGAGGATGGAGAGCACGGCGAGTAAAGGTGGTCTGCAAGGAGAGAGCAGGTGTTCTCCCAGAGGGATGGAGAAGAGTCCGGCGACTTCTACCGAGCTAGGAGGGAGGAGGCTGGATCCGTGCCAGCCTCAGAGCGACGGTGTTGACAGTACGAGTCAGGCAGACCTGACGGCAGACTTCCACGGCAAATCCAACCCGGATGAGAGGGTTACGCTGAAGGAGCTGATGGCCGTTGGTAGACCGATCAGCCGACAAGACGAGCAGCCGTTCTGTCTGCCGGAGAATTTCGAAAGTGCTGATAAATCCCGACACCAGATGAGCTCTTCCAAGCCAGACAGCAGGCAAGGGAAGGGTGGGCTCAACCAGTCCGGCCTCGGAGAATTCACCAGGCTGGATGGTTTTCATACGGCGGAGGATCTGGGTGGTTTGGGCTGGGACTTTTCCCAGCCGGAGAAGCCCAGTAGCACCTACCAGCAGCCGGATAGCAGTTTTGGGGTGTACTCGGGCTTTGTTTACCAGCCGGGCTCGGGGGTGTACGGCACCTCACAGAGCTATTGGCAAGGCAATGGTTACTGGGATGCGAGTTCCGCTGACAGGCCTGCGGTCAACTACGAACGAACTCAAGGGCAGGTGCCGGATTCTCTCACGGAGGATCACGAGGAGTACGAAGACGACCGTTGGGATGATGACTGCAAGCCTCATTTTCCCAGCCCCTTGAGTAAATGCCAAGTACCCGGGCAGAAGGAAAAAGGCTCGGTGCAGGCCCACGAGATCAGCAGCAATTCGACCAAAGAGCCGGTGCCTGGCGGGGAGAAGAAGGAGGAGATGAAGGTTTTGGAAAAAAATGATGCGAAAGAACGAGGTCCACCAAAAAAAAGACGCCCGGAATTGGAGAGTGACTCTGAGAGTGACGTGGACTCGAGGGAGAAGAAGAAGGTGAAAACGGAGGGGGAGCAAGTGGAGTCGGCCCCGCAGGACTCCTCCATGGTGGGGCGGTTGTGTATCATGGATGATTTCAGAGACCCCCAGCGCTGGAAGGAGTTTGCCAAGCAAGGGAAGATGCCCTGTTACTTCGACCTGATCGAGGAGAATGTGTACTTGACGGAAAGGTAACTTTTTACTCTTGTTTTTTAAATTCCTTGCCTACAGCAGTTAGATTTTAACTCCTGTTTCAGTCTGTGATACGGTTTTTTAACAGCTAAGTTGGCATAATTTGTGGGAAGGGGGAGGGATATTGCGTTCCCAAAGTCTGACAAAGCTGCTCGTCGAGGAGGTGTCGCTGGGCCCCTTCTTCTCCTAAACAGAAAAAATCCACTTGGGCCCAGACAGGCCCCAGTGAGGAGAAGAGGGGGAAAATTGGAGGATATGGGAGGAAGATGATTGATTTATACCCTATTCCCAGTTGTCTTGCAGCATTCACAGAGTCACGGGATGGTTTGGGTGGGAGGGACCTCAGAGCCCACCCAGTGCCCCCCCCTGCCATGGGCAGGGACACCTTCCATAGCCCAGGTTGCTCCAAGCCTCATCCAGCCTGGCCTTGGACACTCCCAG